TACCTCGGGTAATACGAAAATTCCTAACTTTTCAATCAAAAGATGCGCCTACTGTTTGTGGCTTACAAGTCTTCAGGACAACAAGCTTAACTTTTGCTTCATCTGAGGAGTGAGATTTATTTAAACGTCCAGTGGTTGTGACATTAAGGAACCAAGTGAGCCATTCTACTTCAAGGTCCTGCAAAACTGTAACACAAGCTTGATACGTGATTCCGGAAAATACCGACTTCCTAATCATTCTTATGAACTTACATGTTGCGTTGTTTAAGTCAATACCTACGCGGGAATTTTATTTAACCAGCTGCTGCTGTTGCTGGTGTGTACGAAAAAGGAGCCGAAAGCTAGGGATTAGGCGACACAACAGATTTCTGTTCTGGATATAACAAACAGCAAATGAAACGTTCCACCATTAAAGTAGATAAAGACTACTGGCCGGTGTTATAGGCGTACGCGCTACCGTTGAGTGGTATTTATATGTGTAGATCTTCGCTCTGGCCCGAAATCACAGAACGGCTGTGTATGATGCAGTGTTACTTCTCAATCCCGAGGAGTTTTACCTGCAGCTTTTCATTTCGTCGACACCGAGATCACCTTTTTTCTACAGTCTGTTCAATTCAGAAAAACAATTTCATTGATACATCCGTGGAATTTTGTGGTATCGACGGTACAATGTAGAACTTTTTAAAAGTTGAGGCCATATAAGTCGATCCAAAAATCAGCATCCCCTCATATAAGGTATATTGATTCCCACAACTAGAGGGCATATCTTTCCTGTACACAGAGTTCAACGTTTGAATGACGAATACCCTGATATATCCATCAGAGAGTCGAATGACTAGCTAATAACTTCCTAACTACTTAGAAGAAAGGAACAAATGACTCGCTCAGGCATTAGATTTATTCTGTCGAGTCAGCACTGCTTTTTTATTCCTTAGAAAAAATTCTCTTAGTTTACACCTCTTCAAAAGTATACCAATTGTTCTTGAAGTAATTAGTGTCGAAGGATCGCCCTCTCATGGGCTCATCAGGTCGGTGGAGACCTTAGAAGGTGAAAAATGAAACCCTGGAATGAACACCAGTTCTGCCGAATGCTTGCTCCTGAGCTCGTTTGCTACTTAACTACGTACAAGTGAACCTTCACTGAATGGCTTTGCAATACCATTTCGAAGCATCATGCTGTGTGCACATTATATGGAAGGATATCATTGTCTTATAAACTGCGGGTTTCCAGCTTCATCAATTTCATTATATATATAAGCTGCATAGAGGCTTGCATCAAGTACATGCCTAATATCCCAGTATTATAGTCATTACAGGAAACATCATCAGATAGATGGAGTGAGGTAATCAGAGAACGTTGCATTCGCAGTGGATGGTAGCTATATCGAATACCCATCGAGCGAATTATCCCGGGATAACTGTTGTGCATGTTCGGTTTACTCTGACACGGCTGGGAAATTCTCGTGCTGGAAGTCTTAAATGTGTAAACCATTGTTTTCCCCAAACTGAATTCATGTTTTCTGCTAGTGTGTGAAAAACACTTGCCTGGTGTTATCCGACACTAGTCACAAAAGGCTTGAGAACAGACCTGTGAATGCTGTATGGTGGAATAATGAACGCACATCCAGAGCTACTTTGTGACATGTGTTTTGACCTGTTGTCATGAAACATGGACGAGGGTCACAACTGATATAGAAGCGTGCGGTCACTGACAGATCAATGGTATGTATCAGGCTATCCAGTTGGTATCAAATGAATATTCCCTAATGGGCACTGGGCGTGTTTTACCGCCAACCAAAAGGGCCACGTGACTGGCCCTTCCGCGTTCAAGACATTATTCTACATAAAGGCTGCATGACACGTTCAACCGGAACATTTTGAATGAGACTGAGTCAACGTTCTCACTGTCAGTACACAGAAGTATGCATTGTGCGGAGCTTAGAATGAGCAACACTAAACCTTGTGGAATAAGGATCAGCCATTCAAAGCTCGAAGCCAGCATTGAAATTCACAACCAGGAGAGAACTCTTTGGGACAGTTTGAGACAATGGAGTTGGTTTGTTTCGTTTTTAGTGATTGCCCGCCTGCCGACAGACTAAACACTTCAGAAAAGAAGACTGCTAGTTACTAGTGGCTGTTGACGTTTTCGCTGATTTTATCGTTTAGCGCGCAAACGCCTCCTCTACAATAGATGAGATATTATCAGTAGGTGGACAGATTGAGAGCCAACCGATTGATCATCACAAAGCGCATCCGATCTTCCAATATTTCGACAAGTTGCCGAACAGTTAGTTGTCGTTCATGGGTTTCCACGACCTGGGTTTCAAAATTCCTCCTTAGGAACCGGTGCATCCACAAACGAAGTGCTGATGGAACGGAGCTTGCAGTTTATCTGACGGTGAATACGGGACGTCACTGAGGTATTGGGTTGCATGGAGAGGTTAGTTATTATGGCCAGATCAAATTCCCAACCAATAATCCCAAGCATGGTGTTCTGAACTGTAAAATTGAGACGAATAATAGACTTCTCTCGACGCGGAAAATCATCCCGCGAAAATTCACTTTTTGCCATAACCCCGCTTTTGGTAAATAGAACACGGAAAGACTCTTTGGGTGGCGGACACAGAAGTCGCAAGAGTATAACTTCAGAAAAACCGACTTGGAGCCACAAAAACGGTGGATTAATGCGACAGAATTACAGAACAACTCCACTACACCATTTACCGCAGATGTTCTTTGACAACGCACTCCGGCATTTTTGTCTCAAAAGCCCCAAAACACTTCGCAGTCTTTTAAATGATTCTGGATGGTATTGATGGTGGAACATTTCTTTTCTCATTCCACAGCATCTGCCAGACCGTTGCTGAGACCATTGACAGCAGCGCACTCAGTACACGCGTAGATGGGAAACATCGTCAATCACTTTGGGATCAAGTGTTATTTCAGTACCTTCCTTGCCGGAGGTGAGACGGGTTTCTGAGGGTATGGAGCGAGTGAATTGCTACTTCAACCTTTCCAAGTACACTAACGTTCCTCGCTAATCGTATTAATGTGAAAACACGTCGGATTCCGGTAAATAATTACGGGTTATTAATAAACGTAACCTTTTTGAGAAGTTTACCAGCTGACGCAATATTCAACTAATAGTTAAGCGGCATTTCAAAGGCTTCTGAAACAAAACGGTAGAATACAAGGATCAAGTGTTTTGTTAACTTGTTACTGTCGTCATTGTCTGTCATATACAGCGGTCTCGTTGATCTGCCAAATATTGTTGCCCCTTTGCCGTGTGGGAACTATTTAGAACTATAATGGACATAAACCATTCTTCTGCTTCCATAATAGGGGTATGGACAAAAGCCTACCCGTAACCTCTGAAGTTGAGAGTAGTCAAGGTCTGATGGGCATGTCGGTATTGTGTATGAAAAGGAAGCAAAATAGAGTGCAACTAAAGAAGGCCTAAGGAATACCTCTTGAAGGACAGAGAGGCTAGTGCAAGCCAAAACATGGATAGTCGTGCATATGTATTGGCCTCCTATTCACGCAAGTCGTAGAACTCCTGTCCATATGAACTGCACTAATATGGCTCAAGAAAGACAAACTCCGTTACCCCATCCAGTTTCTACAGTGAACGAACTTCTAACACATTGACTGTTGAAAAGCTTTAGGAATAACATGGTGTATTGTCTCTTCATTATCAAGAAATTACCACGCATGCATTGCAGTTATATTCTGGATACCCTCACCTGACTGCAGATGGTGCAGGGACAGGTTTTCCGCAACAGGTGAATTGGCAGAACCAATTGCAATCACCCCTACTTGGCATGCTTTTAAACGTGAAAACTGCTGGAATTAGACAGAACTCCCAGCCACGTATGATCTTGTGTTTAATTTTGCCAGGCTCTCTAGTATGATATGATCACTTAGCACAGGGACCACCACGGAAAAAAACGTGTCGATTGGCAAACCTGCACTGAGAGAAAGAGAAATCACGTCATAAAGCTGTTTGATCGTCACTCAGGTATGAGGGGTAAAATATTTGTCTGAAGCCAAAAGACTATTAAACTGTTTTTCTAGAGTAGTTTTAGTACGAGTTTTAGATACTTTGACAAATTAGCGAGATACACTCATTTGCAAACTAATTTGCATTTGCGACGAATTTTCAGCAACCTTAAGAGTAGTGTATTACGAATATACTTTGACAAACTTTTTCGAATCCGCGTTCGTCAAGCAAGGGGGTATGCAATACCTGGGAACCATTCTGATGCGCACACTCAGACATTGAAACTCTTATCAGTGTCAGACTTACGGGCAAGAAAGATAGATGGTAATTGAAAAGGCCAGCTCTTCGGGAGCTGGTTCGCGTTACACCGGAGATATAATAACCCGACTAAGAATCGTGATCCCAGCCCAATGGAGAACCTGTGGGAGCAAATACTTGAACAGCACTAGTTGACGTATTAGTATTTGGGCTGCTTCCACCCAACACACACACCCTTGAGAGATATATGGATCAAAATTCTGATATTCTGCTTGCAATCAAATCCATGACGATTTTCCAATCAGATGAGGTCTTCACCAACGTCATCGAATTGTGAGGTGCGCTGCCGAATGATGATTAAAATTCTCAAACAGTGCTGTTTCAACTCACCGATTGGGCGCACGTCACGTTTAGACTCGAAGTCATTAAGTCATGGAACACATGCTGAAGGCCAAATCTGTGGTGCATCAAATTCTGTGATAACAGAATACTGTCGATGGAGGCATCACGCTATCAACAATTGCACTTCGGTTAGAAATTCGATTGCAGTGAAATGCTTTACGACAAGCTGAGGTGTGATTTCATCTACCCAACTGATAAGTCCGAATAAGGAAAGGTTTCGTGCGACCGTGATCCAGCAGCATCCTCGAAATTACTGGACGATTTTTCCTAAACGAGTGTGAGTGTGAAAATTGATTTTTGTTCCCAAGTGGTCTACAACCCCAGAAAACGACTTGACGTAGGAGGATTTATACACAAATATGTACAAATTGATGCTGAAAGTGAAAAAAGTTGACGACTAGTTAGATAACAAGATATGACTGGATTAGATGGTGGGCCATTGCACGATTTCCGTTTGTTCGATAAATTAAAGCCAGGTTAAAAGCGGCCTCCGAGCGTAGATCTGTCAGCTGGAAAAGAAAAACAGCTGTTGATCAGCTCGTACATATGCTCATCAATAAAACAATCAAATCGAATCGTCTAGGATTTGCATCCTTTCATCTCATAGCTGCAATGAAGGAAGTGAGGTGGATCAGATACTGTCAGAGAGCTTGAACCTACCGAAAAAGGTAGCCAACATTCTGTAAAAGATCATCTTTTAGCGAACTCATTCTTCGGTATACGCGAAGAAACATACTAACAGATTAAGGTGGGTTCAGGGGGGCCAGCATACCAGTGACTAAAATTCAATCACCCGCTTCTCATGAGAACTTGATACCACCTCTTTAAGTGTGCAGACTCCTAGAAAAGGCAACTGGAAAACACTGTGTTTAGAATCGAAAGAAAGAAGAGTGATAATATATTCCCGAACACCCGATAAACCAAAGTAAGTGCCGTCGTTCGGGAGTGAGACCCAATTACTTTAGCACCAGATTTAACCACATGGAGCGAATGGGCCACAGGAAACGATCCTCCAAGATTGGGTTCGATAACCCTAGTTGTTACGTAGCTGATCCTACTAGGCTACTTGCCCAATCACGTGAGGTTTCTGAACATAATTAAAGCTATCAGAGTCATTGGTTTTCCACCAAGGAGACCAGATAATGAACAAGCTGACGTTGTGATGCGTTTGATCAGCCTAAAAAAACAAGACAAACTACCGACCCCAATCCCAGATAACTAACGAAGCCTTCCGAAGATTTTCGAGAGACATTGGTTCAAATCGGCATCCTCGTCTTTTGGTAGGCTTTCTAGTAAGTGCACAACTGTGAAATAAAGGATGAAAAACGTCCAATTTCAAAGGCATCATGTATGTTGTGGAGCATTTGATCAACGATGCAAGAAAGCTGCTAATCAGTCGTACAGTGGAAGCGGCACGGTAATTCGTTTAGCGTGGCCCTTCGAATATATATCCCGTGTTCACTGAAATGCATAGCATACCGCCCAAAGGTTAAAAAACCGGAGGCATCACAGGTGAGCACGTAGTATACAGCTACCAGGTGAATTGGATGTAAACGAGTCAGGTGAGACCTACCGCCTTTTCCTCTTCCGTATTACCAACAGGTTCCATTTTGAGAACTTTCTCATAGTATTCTATAGCGATGTGACAAAGCACTGGAAAAAGAAGAGTGAAAAAATGAACCAATAACAAGCATATCACGTTGAAGATAACCTTAAACAAAGCGTATCTAAGTAAAGGGATAGAAGTCACGTCTAAAAGACATCAAAGTAAAACTGGGCGTCGTGTGCATCGACTGATTTTTAAGGCGAATTTTCTAGATGGGTCTACGATGTTTTACAAACTGAAAAGCCAGGTGTGAAATAGGTTAAGTTACTCAAGTTGAGCGCAAAACAAACTCACTCAATTGATGACAGAAACGAGCGATGTTATAGTACACTTCTTGACAGTAACCACGAATTCGTCGGTATTCGTTTAGAAAGCCCAGTCCCTGTTGGAACAAATGGCATGCACTGATGCGATTCAGAAGCACCAAAAAGTGACAAGTGAGTAGGCAGAATGTGAACGACTAAACGCAATATGACGGGTAATTTTCAGGCTTATGTTCGGTGGAAACTGCACACAGTTCTATCCTCTCCCGTAATCACGCTCAAAACGAAAGACAATTCAGTCAAACGTGTAAGACAAAAATTTTTTCTTAGTGTTAGAAAGAAGTACTCTTCAAGAAGAGTCGATGTGATGATGTTCCAGCCTGGAGGGGGAGCGACACTGGCAACGTCCTGCGAGACCAATTTATAAACATCAATAATTTGATGGAATTCGAGATGAACTATGCAGTAGTGTTGGGATGTTTCCTGGGAGCCGCTATCTACTAAGCTGAGCAGTTAAAATTGTAGTGTTAAAGTTTAACCTTTACGTAGCTCTTACATTGATTTCACGATGACCGTACCTGTTCAGAACGGGCCGGTCGCAACCTGAAAATTTTTGCGAAGTGAAAGAGTGACCTCTTCAGTTTACATCGAGGTGGCGCTTCTAGCCGTCACATACTCAGTTACAAACGATGTGGACAGCTTATCGAAGGAAGCACTACCGTGCTCAGATGGTGGGCTTATCCTCCTTAGAAGACCGAATATAGTTTGAGGTTGTAAAGCCCCAAGCTACTGGCCCATCTGCCAAAACAGTGCACGGATGTCTAGCTGCAGTCTCAAGCAAGTAGCTACTCGGAACATGTAAAGGATGGGCGGCTTTAGGGCGACCCTTCAAGCAAACATCCTGGTTCGATGGAGACCAATCCTTTCTGTCCACGAACCCTCTTTGAAGACTGGCATTGCAACCAAGCGGAACGGGACGTGAAATATAATAACACAAAATTCAAGTCACATAGAAAATAATATCTATCCATCTAACATGGAATATTTGACAACATTTTGCTCACCAAATCTTTGATAAGTGATGGAACACTAAACATAGCATAACGAAAGATAACCTAACTACTACCCTGTTTGGTTATTTTTTCTTTTGGAATGTATCTGAGAAACGTGATTCACAGTTACGCGTTGTTGTAAACGGAAAGCATGTCACGTCTTGCTCTTTACGCAATCATCAAAAAAAACTAACAACATTTCTCTCACTGGCTAACAGCTTCGAAACTCCGGCTTTCCCCTACATGAATAAGACTTTTCGACACAATGTGAGAGGAGTCAGAAGTGATTTCAACTCCCTGCACGTATTTCGGAGAATTACCGTCTATATTCATTTTCCAGAACTCGCTTGCTCCCATGTCCTGTGAGTGTACGTTTTCGAATAAACAGAACTAATGCAAACAATGCCACACAAGTATTCAGATCATTTTATCGATTTTTCAGACTTCACTAAATCCGTCAGTTTGATTACGTTTCCAGGTTCTTATTAAAACTAGAAAATGATTTAATTAAGCATATAAAAAAATACCTCTCCAACTCAATGTGCACAATACTCTTCCTTTGTCGCTAAACCGCCCAGAAAATTTCTGTTTTTCACCTGGCACTTCTACGTTCGTCGTTGCCATATTTACCCAAGAAAGCGTTTGAACACGTGCTAGACTGTTTTGGATTTACACAACTGCACGAAAGTCATCTTTTCAGTAATACTCCTCCGATGAAATTAAAAAGTTCAGGTTAAAACTGTTTAAAGTGCAAGTAGTGCTTTAATGTTAATGATTCACATTGAAGCTCAGAATTTATACATCTTATTGCTGCAGTGAAATCTAGATTTCCGCATAACCTTTCCATTCTTGCTGGCTTATATAAAACCTGCATGATTGCTTGATTCTACCGAATGAGTGGCGAACATCTGCAATAATGCAGTGGCTGTGCTGATCAAACCAGTAAGGCGAATCACACTGAATGAACTCAACGGAGTGCTAGACCACTTCAATTGGGGCGGCTATTGCCGATCAGTGTAAATGTGGACTCAGGTTGTGCTTAACTCATGTGCGGTGTGTGCAAGAATGGGCGCGGTTAGAGTCGGTGTCTCACAGACGTAAACAAAAACGGTGTTACGTTTACTAAGGTATTTCGGAGGTAACCGATAAAAAATCACATGTATATCCCAGGTTTAGCAAAAGCAGTTATTGTGACTGCTTCGATGCACACTTGGGTGGTGAATCTACAGTTATAATGTACAGGTTACAAAGGTCGTTGAATCTTCCGGAATGTTGGGAGATAAAAGATTCCAATAATGTTTCCTCTTAAATGTCGGAATTCCTACGGCTTGGAAACGCCTGTACTGATAAACCGATATGAAATATCTATCGATACGAAACGAACTGACGGATATCCTGATAAGTGCCGAAAACTGACGCGTATTATTCCAACTGCGCCACACTCGATGTTGATGAAAATGGTTGTCAGTTTGTGCACATTTTATAAAATACCGTTAAACACTCAAAACACAGAAGCCATAAGCACACGCGTGACTTACCTGGAGGATTGGTGGATGATGTGAGGCAATGTGTTTGTGTAGTGATACACCCAGAAAACCGACACCCAAAAGTAGTGCAATGAGTGGATCATGAGGGTACTGCTCTCGCAAACCGATCAGTCGGGCTGTGAAATGAACATCAAAGAAATAGCAGGTAAGTATGAAACAAAAGTGAAGGAAGAATTCGTAAATAACGTTGAGAGGATCATTTCCACTTGTTCAGCGACAAGACAGAGACAAGAAATATTTGTTCGTGGTTGCTGGCTTTTTTCGAATGACATATAGTGGCCCTGTACAGGAGGAAGTAAATCAAGGAATCAACTGAACGGTTTTTATGATTCAGGAGGAGCTTGAAAGGTCCGAAAATGAACTGATGGCACAGTACTTCCTCTTTATTACAGTACAGAGCAGATTGCGTGAAAAATTTTCCTAGTCTAATTGGGAACAACGCAGATTAAGTGGGTATATCCCAAATCGACGCCTTTTCTTCAGTCTCACAAATACGCAAAATTATGGCGCTATCACAGGCAATAAGATGATACTGGAACATTCTGACGAAACCCATCAGGTCACCATTATCGTGGTTGACAGAATCAAACCAACAATACACACTAACGTACTTCAAAAGATGATAATCCACAAGCACATCGAACCAGATATGGTAGTTAAAGCTGCCAAAGGCTTTTCTGAAATTTAACTGGATGACATCGGTGATCCTAAAGTTCACCTCACCCTTGTTCCGGATCCAATCGCCTCGAGTCTCCGACGATATATGCACTCACAAGCTACCGATCTACCTTGCGCGATGTATTGACAAAAGTGGATCGCAGGCCTTTTGTATCTGATTGTACAAACGTCTTAATAAAACCGAACACTCTAGACATTTCTAGCAGGTGCAGTAGGACAGAATCGTCGAAGTTTTAAAAAGCGCTGTGGATATCATACACTTGTCACCCATCTGGATTTCATCCGGGCCCAAGCAGAGGACTGTTAGAATAGCCTATACCTAATTTCATCGAAGATCTCCCGCTTTCAATAGTTGAATGATAGAGGAGACTTGTATGAAACCATCGAGATTTCACCATTCCATTTGTTGGTGCGACATTACATGGCAGTGCTAAGGGAATTCAGTCGTGTAATCGGAGGAATGTGGATCGGGTTTTCACAGATGGCTCAAAATTAGCGGCCACACTCATTTCAGAGTTCCCCTCCCTTGCGTCAAAATGAGAGGGCATCGGCTTGGTTTGATGATATTTGCCAAAGCTTACAAAGCAGGAAAAGCAAACATGACCGCATATGATTAGATACTAAAGGCTTACCAATGGCAAGACGATGGGATCCACGCACGATGCAATCATTGTTGGAAATAATCCCAAGTGGATAACGACAATCTTCCTAGATGGATGGATATGAAAACATACGGAAAGGGTAATATTGAACCAGGCGCTGATGTGGACGACTTGATTACTCTGAACGGTCAAATTGTTTACCCTATGGAATTAGTCGGCTGATAGGTGGCCACCAGTTTATGAGTAGCCACAAAGTGAACATATCACAGAATCCATGTGGGTAGAGCCTGATATGGTATCGAGGAACGAGATGGCGCTCAAAAGTTTTTTTTATAGTCGTTGCCCTTTAGATCCACTGTGTATACTGTGAGTAAGTATGGTTGTTTCATTCCTGTTCACACAAACCTCATCACAGTGTTATAAATTACTGAGCTCGACAGAGGTCCTGATCTACAAAGACAGAGAAGACCCAGCACCAATTACCAGCACGTCCCGACCACATTAGCGTGCATAGGGACCACATAGTATGGCACAGGGTCAATACACCCTCAAACACAAACAAGCGAATTCGGTCGCCAAAGGGGACCCCCAGAGCGATTCCATTTTATTTGGGCATTTATCTGCTAATTACTACACGCGATGTGAGTGAGACTTCTGTTTGGCCTCCAAAACAACTTAACTGTTGACATTACCCGGAAAAATCGCAGTTTTAAACTGACAAAGAATAAACATAGATTTGGCTAAGCTTGCACAGGATTCAAATGAAGCAGAAATCCTATACGGATTTGCCTGGCCACTGGATTTGTGAACAACGCTATGGTAGCAGAAACGGCTCGCAATGAGCCAAATGTTGCTACTAAGTGTGAGCCGGCGCATATAACACAAACCCAATCAACTAGAAGGCATGGGAAAATCCGTTATGGGCAGTCTATCCACGCCTACTGGCCTGAAACATTATCACGTTCTATCTAAACGAAAATGAAGACGTCCGCACAGATGCGTTCAAATCCCAGATTATTCGAATCTTCATGTTTCCTAAATCAATAATACGACCGAAACATCAATACATTCCTGGGGATTGCTGACATCAAACTAACCCACGAGGTAGTCGTCTTTGGATATCCATACCAGAAGAGAGGTCGTTTGACGCGAGATTCTTGTGATAAATCTGTTCATCCAGATTTTATCGCAAGGATCACACATAAGAATTAATTGACCGATGATATCTTACATAAAGAGAGACTGTTGATGTTGAGTTTGAATAGTAGACCAGTAAAGTGACGTAGCAGAGAAGCCAAATTAAACAGATTAAGATATATATGGGAGAAAAACTCACATTGAACCGGTCTAGCAACCGACACTGTCGGAAATCACGAGCCAAGAGGATAGCAATATTCATCAGGTTCCAATATTGGTTTTGATGTGACCACTGGAGGGAGATGGGTTGTAAAAAAGTCATTTTTACGAGTGTTCTGGAAATACATGCGGGAAAAAAGCACTGAAACTTCAATCGTGACAAGAAGGACAAAGTTAATGTGGCAAGATCGTAACCACACCGAAACACATACAAATATGATCCCGGATGGCCTTGTAGCTCCTCCTACAAAGAGAGCCGTTAACCACATCTAGATGACTTATGAAACATGATGATCCAGTAACTAGGGGCATTGGAGCAGATTACGTCAGGATACAGAAAATATACACAATAAAGATAGACGAATCAAAAGTCATTCTCATTATCACCACAGCAACAACAAGCCAGGATTAATTGCTGCCGTAAAACCATGCATAAAGGTTTCCACTAAGGTGTAGAGGGAAGAACCCACAGCAAAAAAATACCGAAATTATCCCAAGTTGCTTGCACCTTCGAGGAGTACTGAGATAAACGTCGCGTTAGGGTACGACGCCGGCATCAGGGATGCCTCCGTAGGAACATCAACACCCAATCACACCCACTGAAAGGGATAGCTAAGTAGTCTGAATACTTGCACATACATCTACAGATTCCCAACCACTCCTTGCTAACTCAGCCAGGCTACCATTCTAAAGCTATCCAAGATTTTCAAACTCTCCAGTGCATCAAACTTTCTCGTATGCATTTCTTCTATCCATCTCCAGTAGATGGAAAGACTGAAAACGAATGGAGACATCGATCGAACCCGAGCGGGAACTGAGACATCAAAAGTTCGCACCACTTGGAATGAGGTTTTAGCTACAAGAGTAGAAAAGGATAAAATAGCAACACTGCTTTTCTCGGGGGTTAACTAACCTACTCATCGTAGGTCTGATAAAGTTGCAAGATATCAGCCAAACCAGAATCACCACTGGATGTAGAAGTACAGGCAAAAGCTTCCGTCAGAATCGACATTACCAAACCATTGCCCTCTTATTTATGTAGGCAAATTGTGCTTACATCCCACAAACTCCTCTAGAGAACCGGATCAACAAAGATGTGCAGCGGTGAAAAACTGACAGTCACAGAAAGACCATCAGAGACCGAGTCCCGTCGCGACAATGATAAGAAACGTTTGTTGAGACAATAATAGATAATACACACCTTTTTATAGATTTCCCTTAGCTTGAAATAGGCCGGGGTACCATTGTGTCCAACAAGACATGAGCTGATGAGCAAGTTGCTAGCGGCGGCCCGCGAGACTCATCGTTATATATGGCTGGTAGCAGACCACCCCAAATCGCCGCCGCCTCCAAATGAGCCAGTGTGTTGGGCATTTCGGCCATCAGCATTCCAATTAGCCGGAGGTAAAGGCTCCAAATATCAGCTGTTGTGACGTTGCGTTCCTTCAAACCGTGTGTTCTTGAGGTTACCAGTTTACATGAATGGTCGTTCGTACCCAATCTGGACATCAGCCGAGCGCGCAGACGAGAGTTGTCTAGGATAACAGCCACTAAATAGGGGAAGCAAAACAAACAGAATAACCAAGTCCCATGAATGGATTAAACCCAGGAGAGGTGATATAAGTACTGCAAACTCACGTTCAGCCCAGTCTGGTCCGCAAAGACGAGCTACGTCAGTGAATAGAACATTCCAAGCCTCATCCATAAACTGGTGTGCCGAGTCTGGGTGGTCAAGCATTTTGCAACGTTCGAAAGCAATACGATATGCGACGGGATCATTGGAGAGTAGACTGGCGTCCGACACGGCGCTCGAAGTCTTCAGCCACTTAGCATCCCGTTTCGCTTGTTCAACCGCAAAATCGTCGTCATCATCACGATCCCGGTGCTCCTGATCTGAGGTATCAGATGGTTCAGAAGGCATAGTCCCCCTCTGTGACTCACGAAGCTTATTCGGTCGATTGGAATTTCTCGACTTTGATAGAGATGATGGAACTTTGGAAGGTCTCTTGGTCGGTCGGCTGGAAGATTGTCCACTTATGACATTCGAGGGTGCCATCAGCTACATAGCAATGAGAAATAAAATTGGTTACGAGAGCCATATGACACCAAGTAAGTTCAAGCGCTGGTAGTCAACCAAGTTGTGGATAAGATATATCCACAAATCGACAGGCCTACCATGATTCACCTTCTAGTGATATGAGCGACAGCACCATTAAAACGAGCAGGAAGTTATCCAAACTGCACTTACATCAAGGGCTTCTTCATGACGTCCGACCCTTTTCAGTAGGCCTCCAAGAGCAACGCGAGCTTCAGTATGCCTTGGAGCCAATGTGTCTAGGACGTGGCGATAAGACAACATGGCTTTTTCGACTTGGCCCAGCTCCACTTGCACTTCGGCCAACATGGTCCAAACAAGTGGCATCTAGGAAATCAAACCAAAGGCATCACAGGTATCCCAATCCATCTTGCACTGCGCTATTAGTGAATAGATTGGCAAGTGCGAAAGGCGAGAGAGAGAGTGTGTGGTCCATACAAATAAACCAGTGAAAACGATCTGGCATAATGGATATCTGTGTTGCCCTCCAACCCGAGTCTATTGGTTCAAGCCAGGTAACAGACACATCCAATGGCGATTTCACCAGTGAAACGGATTATTTACTGTGTATTTGGCATAAAAATGTCCTGACAAAAAGACAAATTTGTCTATGATTACTAAAGCTAACAACTCAAGGAAATACGATTGGATGATGTCACGCAGTCTTGAACGACAAACGAGTCTTCAGAAATCGATGTAAGTGATATCTAAGTTGGAAGCCCTCGTTAAGGGACGACGGTAAAGACCGAGCTGAAATACAGACCCCGCTGAGTCTCCGGCAGTTTCACAAGAGTGATGCACTGCGGTCGCCTCAGATTAACATTACTCAGAAGAAGGCTGTACCCGGGTGATAACAATATTTTTGCGGGATATGATCCCGTGAGGGTTACGCAATCCAAAGATCCAGACACACAACGGCCAAAAAAGAGACCATATTCTGTTTGACTACTGGAATTGAAAGAGTAGTATGAAAAGTGGGATGTGTACGGGCAAGAGAAGAAAAAAGTGCAGATACCAGTCATTCTGACTTACCTGTTTGGTGCTTTCCAGTATGGTCAGTTTGAGGAGCATTTCACCGGCTGCGGAATGCAGACCGTAAGTTCTGAAGGATTTGATTATGTCCAACAGCCAATCAAAATACTTCTCAGCATTTTCTTCTGTCAAACTGGCGCGAACAAACGGCTGAAGTCCAAAATAAATATCTTCAGTTTAGAGAAAATCAGTATCATAGAGTCAAACACATCCCTGCTTGGTAAAAACGGACGAGCCAGGAGGCTTAATTTACGTCCCAAGGTTTTCGAGGATAAAACCACTTGCATCGCAAAAGAAGCAATGGAGACCGTTCCGGTGATTGATGAGTTTAAAAGAATACGGGACAAATCGCAAGAGCAGGATATTGTAAATACACTTACAATGCAAATGGCTGATAACTTGAGATGAATCAGGATTAGGAACAATTTCATATAGAGCTCAGGAGGTGTCGTTTCCGGAAAGGTAAGGCTGAAAAAATGAAAAGAAAAAATGAGTTATGTGAATGGAAACTACGCACGATTCTAAAGTGGCTGCCAAGTTAAATAATACCTATGCTGATTGATTTATGAATATTCGCACTGTGTTCATTATAAAGACCAAACAGAAAGTGTTGCGTGACATTCAGTGGGTCGGAATGAACATGAGTAACCGTCAGTAAATCCGGAACAGGTACAGTGCCCCTTTGGATCACAAGATATCCCAATCAAAACAAGTGTCTCATAAACAGGGGGACAACGTAAAGCAGTTGCGGATTGTCGTCTCCGGTTTAAACTATGCTCTGGGCCGAACGAAAATAGGCATCCTACGCTGAACACGACCACAGCATTGCCTGCACTGATAAACTCAGGTCATCCTATTGATGACTTAAACTAGTTGTTCCTTGACGGGTAGCCAATGCCGTCTCTCATTCGAATCCCCGCTTCATGTATTCCATGCACATTAAACCAAGGTACATACTGTACGGTTTCAAAAGGCTTGCCGAAAACATGCACGTCAAACCATCTTTGTTCTTATCATTGAAGTCATCAGGTTTTAGCTGCTTGATATCGACAGGTCACTGAACACAGCAAACACGCCACACTACGGATGGTGACCTCTCAAAGGCCTACAGCAGAAACGTTTTTCGCTTGCTCGCCAGAAAAAACACATACTCGTTTCTTCTATCTCCGTATTTTGAAAAAATCGAGAAAATCGCTCAGCTGAACGCCATTCAGGTACCTAGCTACAATATCACCCGAGGGAAGCATGAGGGCTGGGATATTGCCAAGCCTAGACAGGAGAAGTGGAGAGGAAGAAGTCGGGTTCGAACCACGAGCCTTCCGGTCAGTAAATTCGCGCACTAACCATTTGAGCGATCTCTCCGTACTTTATCAAATCATGTAGCATGCTCATTGATTGTTATTGAGTATTTCCAATAGGTGTCTCGTATCACAAATCCCCGTTGTAAATGCTTTTGTAATCAATCATACCCGGGGTGATAGTGACTGGATTGAAGGATTTCAGCCGAATCCGATAACGAGAGATAAACTAATTAGTGGCACAATAACTACAATAAAGTTTCCACTTATCGGTCTACAGTACACCTTCAAAAAAGCACACCGGCCGAAAAATACAGGACCTCACTTCGTATATTTGTTCGGGTGCTTCAGTTGTTCCGTCAAGCGATCCCATCGCAAAGGCTTGCCTGCCTCTGTAGTGATGGATACGTTGCAATAGCGCAGAAGAAACTGGAATAGGAAAAGTAATCCGAAGGTCATTAAGACATGATATAATAAGGGCTGGGCGAGATGGTCTAAGTGGTTAGAACGCGAATTTACTGAGCGGAAGGTTCATGGTTGGAAACCGACCTCTGTCCTCGACTTCCCCTGTCTAGGCTTGGGCAACCTGGCAGCCCTCGTGCCTCCTTCGGATGGCATGGTAGCTGGGCTCCGAAAGAGTGCTACGATTATTATTATTATTTATAATAAGGCATAATGGGTATCAATGAGCTAAACTGATAACTATTCATGGCATCAAGTATATGAAACAATAGATTTGTGATGTACGATGCCAACAGTAAAATAAAGCTATGTGTACAGTCGAATTCGATCGGTGCAGGTGATATTTAACGGATAGAGGTAGAACTTCAAAAAAAGGGGGATTAAAGAATCTTGATTTCTTTTTACCGGGATTTATCCGCACACTATCCGCGGACAAGCCGGGATGCTAAATATGAGCATCGGGCACACAGTCAACGTTAATACAAGGAATCAATGAAAGGGAGGAGCACGCAGGCGAAACCATGAGTTTCGAGTGGTGAACCAAATTAGGTTCCTACAGGCTTGATCAACGGTACCAACCAGGATGACGACAAAAGATTTGCAACAACTGTGCAACGACATGGATACATGTAACACAATGTATACGTTGTCCTTCCTTCTCCAACTAATCCATCTGTGTCGATTTTTTGGATAGATGTAAAAAGCATATTTTTATCGTCGGTTTGAAGACGATTAAAACATGTGGGATGAGCCTCTATGCACAATACAAGAAGTGACGCTTTGACAGAAAACATCGGCGTGGGAAAAATCGAATATTTTGGTAAAGATAAAGATCTTAGTATAGAAAATATTGGTTCACGGTTACGATTGGTCAGATTTAACTGGAACAAACACATTACATACCTTGAGTGCGTTTTCGTACTTGCGCAACTGTAGCATCATTGACAAAGTAGTGTTCTTGTCTGAAAACGAAAATAGAAGTATAGAGGTATAATGCCAAAATTATGATGCATAATAACAGGTTAAAGGATATCCCGACAATTTGGTAGAAATACGAGCAAGAAAGCTCATTTTTATGCTAAACAACAACTATCTTCAGAGACCAATTCAGAATGGTTCAACAGTGAATCGAGTGGTAGTAAGAATGTCCTAATCGCACAATAATGATGGTAGGTTTGTGGGCTGAGATACTGTTAAGTTACCCAAACCTAGACAGGAGTAGTGGAGATGAAGAGATTGAGTTCGAACTATGGACCTTCCGGTCAGTAAGCTCCGCCTTAACTAGTGAATCGAGTGGTAGTAAGAATGTCCTAATCGCACAATAATGATGGTAGGTTTGTGGGCTGAGATACTGTTAAGTTACCCAAACCTAGACAGGAGTAGTGGAGATGAAGAGATTGAGTTCGAACTATGGACCTTCCGGTCAGTAAGCTCGCGCCTTAACTAATGAGCCACCTGTTAGGGCTCACCCATCTAAGCTAGATTGGGCTATGGTCAATGGTTTGTTCGGAACCGGACACATCAATATAACGATCATTAAAATCGGTGTTATTCGAGGTCATGAAGCTTACGGAGGGTATCAGATAATTCCAGTGCTCCACATCACTGATTCCAGGTACAACTGTCGATCAACATCCGTTAGCACAATAACTCGCGGCCGTAGAGGGAAGTACGGGAATCAACCAGAATTGGAAAAAGTCCAAGGCCGGTGATGAGCGGAAACAAAAGGTGGCAATAAAAGTTGGGGGACCTACCAGCATCTGTTCCAGAGTCCGGGTACTTCTCGAATGCCGACTCATATGCACGTATAGAACTGGGACGATCCATGAGTTTGAAGAATTCCTATGAAACAAATTGAGAACTGAGTGAAGCACATAAACAAGTGAAAAATCACGTTGTACTGACACGTTAGAAACACAAATATGGACACAGACTTTCTATAGTTTGTGGACCGTGGTTAGGAGCAGTCACCTTGTCTGAACTGCGTAACCTATGAATGTTCATCCCCTCAATTTCGTGTTTATTTTTATGGATTAACTCATTGTAAGAACACAATGAGAAGTGTCGCTATTCTGGAAGATGTTCACTGTTTTGATCAGCAAGAAAGGAACATACGTAGAGCGCCAACTTCAAACAACCATGAGAACACACAGTCCATAGGTCACACAAGCAAATTCGTCGGGTTGACATTGTCTATGAAACACGAGAGAGCATACCATCAGATGAGTGAAAACACTGCCAATTCAAACGATAACACTCTCAACCGGTAAAGCAAATGACGGAGACATCATGTTAAACTTAGCATGCGAACTTAGAACACAAAACAAAACACTTCCCCCGGGCGTAAAAGCTATACTGAACTCACATCTGCGAGTGACCGAGCCAACTGAAACTGTTTCTCACCCGACGATTCCGGATTAACGGAAAGAGCAGACAAGCGCAACATTAGCGCGCTCCGGCTTTGTCCGGCACGTTCATAATATTGTATCAACCGTCGACGTATGTCCGAATTTTGGCGATCACCTCTCAATGCTAGTCGAAAAGAGTCAATAGTAATGTCGATGAGTAAAGTTAGCCCACGAAACACAAGCGAACAAACCAATAAAGTAAAAATGGTTAAAAAGTCGATAGCCAAACAGTCGCTCACCCAACTTTGTGTAGTGCATGGCCAACGCCAGGTCGTTTTTCTCTTCGGCAAAATCAATCAGAGATAACCAAAGACTGGTATCTCCCGGGTTTCTTTGTGCGGCCTCAAACATATACTGTGGACGAAGATTTGTAGACAGTAAAAAGCTGTAGTGAATCAAACTGGTCAAAAAATACATGGAGGCTAAAACACAGGTGCTTGTTTATACTACACTGTACTACAGCGAAAAAGGGAACGTTGTCCACATTAAGTTGGTGAGATGAACGCGCCATAATTAATAGGTGGCAAAATTTCTTAGTCGGGAAAACTAGTACAACTATTTAACACAGGTTCTCACCTCCGTGGATTTTTCGTGGTCTCCACGACGATAATAGATTTCAGCCAGGACCACGTACGGTGGAGAAGAATTGGGTGCTATGCGGTGCAATTTGACAGGACAAATAGAGAGGGAACATGGTCGTTCAAGGTGTCGATCACAATCAGACTTGTACGAATCTTTTGTCACACAGGAAAACAGCTAAAAGCGGTTAAATTAACCCGAGGCAATATTTTCCATTTCAAAAAATGGCGACAACTTCATAGTTGAAAATCCGACTCACAGAATAGGGCAGAATGCTGGCTATCAGATCATTGCCATACACAATCCATGCTGAATTAGAATCCACCTAGAAGACAGCTGTTTTCTTTGCCAAATTTGGAGTCTTGCAAACGAAGGACCGAGCAGTATAATTTGCAGAAGAGATAAAAAATGGCGAGCAAAGTGTGGATGTTGTCAGTGCCTTTTACTTTCAATGATGATCACATGACGATCGCCACACCCTGGCTAGCGGCGCAGCGGGGTATATCCACAAATCAATATCAATCATGTTGATATCCGATATCCCGATTATCTGAACAGTCACTGGGATATGTAGGTACCACAAACAGTCGTGGTGAGCTTGCATGAGGCAGCTTTCCTCGGAGTTTATTAGTTATTTCGGTACATGACTTGGTTTTTGAAAAAGTTGAGACAGATGTGAAGCTGCAATGCATGAGACATTTGTGCGACCTCTAAGACTCATGGCTGTGTTACATCTACTGCTGCTCCCACCCCAATGCCTTAGTGTCGGAAAAAGACTCGTCAACAACTTTATTGCAAACAAATGAGTGCAGAAGTTACAAGGGGCCCAGTGCTATTTAAAGGGCACTTTTGACATTGATCCAGACTATCTGATTACCCATCATCATTGACCGAGATTCTACGAAATGCTGGAAACTTATCACAGTCGGTCGTGCTTCTGTGGCGTGCCTGAACACTCGTCGGTGTTGCTGAATTGATTGAGTGACTGGCATGGATGCTTGCCAGTTTCCCGTTTGAGATTTTGATGGAGTTTTCGGGTCTCAGTAGGTTTCGGGCATTCTGGGCTTATTTTCAGGAATATGACCTACCTGGCTGGCGCTAAAGCAGTTAGAACGCTGCACGACGTCCAGTACAGTTGGTCTCAGCTTCTCGTCCCCTTGGCTTTCTAGGCACAAAGCCACCGACTCCTCATCTTGAAACCAATACCGGAACGGTTAGAACAAGATAATGCTTAACACTTTCAAAATGACATCCCTACTCAGGAAATGTCATGGTCTCAAAGAGTAATGAACAGCATCCCGCATGATTCAAACTGGGCTCTCTTCAAGCAGAGTTCATGTCCCAGGAGATACATTATGCTTTCCTTTGAGAAGAAAACTAAATGCAAAACAACAATAGCTAATGCGGTCAATAAGTCTAGTAGATGGAAAGTATAATACAGAATTTAGAAATTCCACGTTTATAGTCAATCAAAGTTGGGATCCCAGGTTGGAGAACAGGAAATCTGTTGTGATGACTGTTGTTGATGACTGCCCTGAGAACATCGCCCACTGTTTACAGTGTTCGCAACGCAATGAGCAAAAGCTCTATTTTTTCCACAACCCAGGGTAAGGTTCTTGATATGGTATGTGGAACACAAATCTTAGCTGCACATTGTTTTTTGTGATAACGTGGCATGAAAGGCACCACGAACTTGACCGGCTGTTGTGTAACTTTTATTCGAACTGGACATCTTACCGTGGCCTGTTCTGAACAGGCAGGTCAACGCTGGCTGTGTGGAGGAGGGGGAGGTACATATAGTGAAGTGCTTATGGCCGAGAAATACTGAAAAGCTATAGTTGACAGAAATATGCAGCGGGGCACCGGGACATACTTTCTATGACAATGCAATACCGGTTATCTTGATGATAACGCTACTTAGAATCAGCATTCTGCTAAACTAACCGACCACGCTAAATCATCCCAAACATCTCGGATAGTCGACACAGATCTACTGCTTCTCACCATACTGTTTTGTCGGACTTGGCCGTACTGCCCTCTCAATTACCTGCTGTTTCTTTTAACTACGTTGCTGGTACAGCGTGCACAAGCACTTATGCGTGGTTGTGACAGAATCCTCACCAGCAGGACATAAAAAATCCAGCTTAAAGGGGAAATCAGCAGTGGGTAACTGCCACCTCCAGGGATGGGGACCCCGGGACACAAATCACCAATGGCTAATGACACTGGCAGAAGTGGCCCGATCGCGCAATCAGTGGCGTTCGTGCATCAAAGCTATCACCTTCGATGCGTTGGTACCCAATTTCCGAACAAACTGAACATGCCTTCGCTTCCCACACTCCCGTTTTCCGGTGATTGAAACTGTAGCAGCTGGAACCAATGTGCCTATGGTATACGGTCTATAGCTTATAAATTGAATTGAATTGCAAGCATCTCACCATCTAAGTACTTTTCACTGATCCACATAACGTATTTTATGCTAATGACGCCGACATTTTACAAAAAGAAACAGAAATGCAGGGTACTCATTCCTGACTGGATAGAACCATCAACTGACTTAGTTTTGCACAATGAAAAATCATAGTCGTTTTTGCTGCAACATGGTACAACTTTAAACCCAACAACGTTCCCTAATTCTACGAAGTAAGATAGTCGCAAAGCACAACTGAAATAAAGTAACCGCTGAAAAGCATTCCTTCATTACACAAATCGAAAAACATACCTGAGGCGATGATTGTCCGACAAATTTCCTCAGCTTCATCGAATTGGTCGTTGTTCAAAAACCGCTCGGCCTCTCCCAAATACTGGGCTAGTTCGACAGATAAACGGTTCTTTGGTGCCTAGTAATAGATTATTGGAAAGCAGAAAATGAAGCGATTTCAAGGAGAAATGACCACGAGTCGCAACCTGACTTGTGTCACAATGAACAGATAAATGGAAGTGGTAAAAAGCCCCACATGCAACGTATGCAATATGGCGTTGATTAACCGAAGATAGGCCACAACCTACACCAAACCACTGTGTAGCACCGTAGTATGGTAGAAACGTCTAACACTGTCGTAGATTCTTGTTAAACAGATGGACAACAGGGGTGCTGGCAAAAGGTAGCACGGCACCGGGGAGTTCGATGATACGACGAATTACGCATAACTAGAGCTCTATGTGTTGTATGAGGTTCACGCAGCTTCACAGTAGTCACACTACCCACACACTGTTGACCCTGATAACTAACCTTGGTTGTCTAATACCTCTCAGCGTTGCAGTCAGTCTTTTCCTGCCTGTGTTCGATTAAAACAAATGAGGATGTACGTAATAGACGATTTTACTCGCAAATTCAATTTGGTAAACTTATCTTCTATATAGTTCGAGCGCGTGAATTGGTATGGTAGCGATAGTGCCATGGTGAATCCTTGATTTCTTTCGGAGGAGATTTCGTCCTATGAGTGAACTCAGAGTATGCAGAGTCCTGGAAACACTATACAGGTATTTAATTCTTGATGGGAATCACCAGGAATTTCCAAGGGAGTTCGAACTACCAACCTTCGGCCTAGTAATTGAAGACTAAGCCGTTCGGCCACGAGCGGCTAATGAGCGGCTGATGAGCGGCGTGCCTTACTCCAAACTAGATAGAAAACCTCAGTCACAAGGGACAGGCTCTGTTTCCCAAGTGGAATGTACGGAAACTGACAACGTGAATGATCTGTTCATCTGAGGTTGTAGAGGATGGTTTTTACCAGAGCTAACACGAACTGAATGGAGAAGCTTACTCGAATCATTAGCGTTCGGGGCTTTCTCTATATTTACAGTCATATACGATCAATACGAAATAAGGTAGTTTCTGGTAAACCTACTGGCGTCCTGTCAACTAATTCGGAATCTAAAGTGCCAACCTGATTTCGAAATCTAGTCTTTGTCGTTTGGTGCTGTAATCATGATAGCTTTTCGAAAGGTGCTGGCTAGATGCCTTGAATATGAGCCATTGAAAATGAAATCCTGGATAGCGCAGATTGCTGACTGTCGACAGCTTTACTGGTGTGAGGCTCTATTCAACCGAGTAGAATGACGCTGATGCATTTCAGAAGTGAATGTAGTTGTGTCGTAGGGAGATGGAGTTTGATTTCAACGCACGGTTTCCGCACTCTCGACCCAAGCTCTTCGATACCGCGGACAATCTTCTAAATCTACGGGCTACCGAGATTTTATCAGAACATAGTAAAATTAACGGGCAATGCAAACATCATTCGACTGACATGCTGTTGAATACAGTTCAGGGTGACAGAATTGAGTATTGAGGATGATCAAGTCACTCTATGCAACGCAGCTTTCACTTAGATGTCTTGCGCCGGACTTGCCTAGGATAAGGAGAGTGGGGCGGTCTGACGACCCAAACAAGCATTTCAGTCACCCGTAACTAACTGCATATCGCGCCTAGAAATTCCACCCACCAAGTTCCATACGGTTCAGTGGATATGGCGCGAATTTACCGACCGCAAGGTCCGTGGTCAGAACCCAGCCTTGGCACACCGGCTGAACTTGTTTAGGCCTGGGCAAACTGGTGGTATCTCATTTTTCATGCTCCCTTCAAGTGGCATGGAAGTTGGATACCGAAAGGGCGTTACAGTTGGGATCATTATTTTGTTTCACCCAACGCACTCTTAAACTCATCAGAAAAGCACTTCTAGGTGGTGCAATTCGCTTAAGAGGAAGGCGCGTGGATGTAAATTACAGCTAATTCCAGGCGGGGTACCGAAGAATTAGTGCCGAACACTGATGTCAAGCCGTCGATGATGAGAACCGAGTTGTTCACAAAACCACCGTAATAGCACCAATGGTATGTGTCTAGTTCCGTTACAAGGATCAGTGTGATGCCTCAGTTTGGCGGCCTGGTCTCAAACAGGTATCTAGCCGTTGTCACGGAGACGGACAATTCTTGTTGCTGTAACCACGTAACAGGGCACACATGTGAAATGGCCTTCATGTGTGGACAGCCCCAGCTCACTTCTGACTACTTCTCACTTCTCGGCTAAATCAGTACGAAGTGTGTCGCTTCCCGGAAACGCTGCAATGAGTTGATTCTTCACGAGGTAACAACACACATGATGCTGACGGTGTCAGTCGGTTTTTGGTTGATGAAAAACCTCTAGCCTTTGCACAACCGAGTGGGATTTGCAACGCAGCAGAAATACCGTCAACAACTGTGGAACACAGCGGCCATTATGGCCGAAAGCGATTTCATTCACCCAGTTAGCCGGAACGGATGAATGTTACCGCCATCGCTGACTAACAAAGTTTTGTCAACTTCCCCACGTGAAAGACCAACGAGTACTTTTGAGACTGTTGGGTTCATCGGGTAATCTTATCATCCAATTTACAGTGAATACGAACTTGTATGTATATGAAGTTGAGACAGTGTTGCTGTGAGACTTAATGGAATAACTGGTTTATACACCATCAACCTAATTTACTTCACAAAAGGTGATTTGAGTTCTAGTTGAAGCCATACTTAAAATAAAGATATACATTCCTTGATGTCAGTGGATACAAGATTGATGAAAATTTTGAACGATCACCTGAGTGTTAAATTTTTGGGGGTCTGTCATGTGGACCAGTTCTCCGTGTTCAAACACCGAATGAAAAGTAGGTAGGTTGGTAGTGAGAAAAACCCAAATTGCCCCACTGATCGATTGTGCCGCAAAAATGCCTCCTCGATTATGGTTCCACAACTACTCTTTGACAGCCAACCATTTAGTTTACGGGTGAAGATATGCCCTCAAAAACGTCAGATTTCGTATTTAAGAACGAAAGTAAGCTCAGGGGATAGGCTTATCTGATGAATTTCCGGAAAAGCAAAACCGGTAAAGGGCTGTCAGAAGTTCTGTCGACCCAATCAACAACACTAATCGGACTACACCGTCTGCGAAGCACTCAGATACGGCTCTGTCATGACTTTGTAAGCCATACTTTTAATAAATCATTAAAGCGACTGATGTTCTGGCTGCAGTGTACGACCGTACGCCTCTTGTGGTTCGTATAGCGCATTACAAGCACTTATGCCATATGTACTGGTATCAACTGTACCCCACATGAACGTCTCCTGTCGTTCACACGACGATCAGCCAACGGTGTACCCTCACCTACCTGGCTTAATGCCCCTGGGCCGATCCTTCTGAGATGCAATGATCGTGCCTCTAAATATGGCCCTTTGGTAAAAGGAGTGGAATTCGTCTCTAGTAATCCAAGCAGTAGTTCGTCTAGATGGCAAACACGAAACCGTATCCTTACGTCGCTCGGTTCCCAAAAGCAACAGCATGACATGCAACAATGCCGACACTGAACTGAAACCAGTGCATATTAGCGAACAAGAGGAACGTCACCCAACACCAACAGTCCACAGTGATTGTTCAGGAACTGAAATCTTGCCTATTAATGACGCCTCATCATCCCATTCTAGAACGGATCCAGGAAATCACTGGATACCCTTATACGACAACAGCCCACTCACCCATACAATCTGTGCAACAGAAAGGGGTGAATGATTCCATGTAGATATTTTTTAAACTCTTGTTCGCCGCAAAACTACACACTTATTCCAAGGTGGGGTGAATGTCATGACTATATAAACCATACTTTCCACACATACGATCAACTTGTAATGTTCACTCTACATTTTAAGCTCATGTACTATCGTTATTGGATTATCAAAGCGTAGCTTACGCCATTCTATTCTGCCTTCCTTTTGATCTCGACCTGAAAACACTCAACTGTCACAACAGGCTTACAATCAATAAAATATCATAAACACAACAAAGTGACCATCTTACTCTCTTCTTCCGGGCCTTTCTCCGTCGTTGTTCTTTGGCTAGAGAGAGGAAGAAAGATGTTTCGATGATACAAAGAAATAATACAAAAAACAAAACCCAATGCTGTCAACTTTTACGCTAAGGGTCCCCGAATTCCTGTATCACGGGACGATACAGCTCTACGGGTTAAGTGAGAATACAGCCAACTGATACAATGAAACCCCACACAGCGACCGTCCCTTCACCATGGTCTGTTTTTAGCACCCATGGAAATTAAAAATGGGACCAGCATGCAATAGGTCCCCATTTTCTGGAAGTTAATGGCTAAAGATACTTTGTCCCCACACCTCCTGCCTAAAACTAAAAAAATGGCGCCAATATTCCATAAAGACATAAATTCATGGGTGAGTGCCGGGTCGCAACCCCCACCTGTCTGGAACGACTATTTGCGATTATCTCAACGGTCAGCTTAGGGTATATTGTACCGAAACTATAAATAAACCCAATAACACCAAAGCAACAGTAATGCGATGCGTCAATTTCGCCTTAGGGTTCCTGAATTCTTGATAAATCTAAAGAATTGCCCCAGGACAGGCTACAAAACAATAAGCCTATTTATACAAGGGCTCCAACCTGACGTTCCCAGGGGGCACTGGATCTAACGAAACTCCCCAAAATGAATATGCATGAAAACATTTCCTGCAGAGCACAGTTTGTGAACACAAACTGTGATTCGTCGTACAACTATTCATGAAAAACTATACACTGAATTTCGTTCGAATGAAGCTTGTAGCCCGAAGGTACTCCTGTAGTTAGCGAAATATACTCATTCGCAAACAAATTTGGTTTTGTGGGAGACTCACCTGGAACGTAGCTGAATCTCTCCTTTATGATTTAGAGAGTAACATAAACCAGAGATTAAGCTGGGTTCCAGGTGAGTCTCCAAACCAAATTTGTTTATAAATGAATGTATTTTGCTAAGTTCGTGCAATTTGGGTTCAATTAGAACAGAAGGCTGACGGAAACTCGGGGACTGTGCCTACCTGATGAGCCACAAAAAAGCGGAACCCGTAATGGGTTGTCGGTAAGTAAATCTACATACGCGTACCATAATGGCAGTGTGAGATTGTACAGCCACGTGAGTTACAGATGAACGTTTTGCACTTGTTGCAAAAGGTTGCAAAATACAGCACACCGTTCGTCGTGCTGTCGTCCCTCTAAAGACAAGTCTTGCATCTCCTTGTACTGAAATAAAGGAATAGTTGAACAAGGTGCTGGTGTCTGTGCGTCAGTCTTACCACATGGACCTTAGAGAGTACGCTATTACAACATTTTCTCCTTTCGAAATGGGATTGTACAACATTGTGCATCAATTGTTAAGGAAACTGCCACTTTCAGGACGTTATTGTATGCAGGTTGTTCACATACAAGAGGCTAAAATGGGCTGTTGCTTGCTACCACTTTGTTCAACCAAACTTCTAAACAGTCAGTCGTCTGTGGGATAACAAAAAACTATTTAACGTGAGGAAACTCAAGCGTAACCGTCCTTCATCTACTGGCAAGGTCGAAACGATACGAATGGTAGTGTGTATAGAAATATTTCAAGTGATCCAAAATGTCAATCTAATTTTGCTAATGTTTGGATTGGCTTTTCAGAGTCGGTCGGGGAGATGCGACTGCCTCGTTCCCTACAATCTTATCCTGTGAATAGCTATCCCCCAAAACTCGGAAGTATCAGTTTCGCCTTACGCCCCTAAGAATATCGAAACTATTTTATTTAGATGGAATTTATTTTAAATGGAATACGAATTATAATCACTTATAAGATCACACCGCCTGGTTTTGTCATACAGGTGGTACAAGCTCTCTACACGATTACTGCTTATTTCAATGTTGCATCGACGAATCATGAAAATGGTCGACAGCAAGGTGGATGCAACCAACGTCCCGTAAGCCTGTCCATCCCTGATTTGGTTAAATAATCTCCAAAAATCTGTCCAAGAATAATTGGGATCAAGGAGTCGATGTCAGAGGATAAAACCTCTCAACAGAAACTACCTAGTATAGGTTTCGTACACGCTCGCATGGGATGCTGTCTAAATATATTAGTGAGGCTGTGTAGATAGAACGCTGATTAGGGTTCCCAGCTGAGAGAGCCAATAAATTCAGAGGTTTTAGTTGTGTTTAGCCAGGAATGATCTGGCAAGATAGTAGGCTAGCAGCTATTCTCACAATAGTTTTCACCTGAGAAACCTCTTGGGAAGTTAAAGGTAGAGTCGACATCACTTCTGGGACCATGAATGCTTTTGATAGCTTGAAAAATGGAAATGCTAAGGAATATTAGGTCCCCCAAAGACTGAAATCGTTATTATAGAAGATAAAAAACAAGCTGTCGATCAGAAGGAGTGAGAGCAAGAATAAAAGCCGGAAGAGAACGATAAGAGAACGATAATGGTTTAGAGTGTCTCAGCAAAAACATGATAAAATAACAAACCTGAGATATGCGGGTAAACGTCTCACACTTGCAGTTTAAATGTGCACCGTGCTAATTTTCATTTTGCTTTTTCATGGACAATCTTTGATACCAGTGGTTTCGCCCTTTATGGGACTCATCACTGTACGAAGGGCGCCTCATGTTCAGTTGGTACGATATTCGGGATATTGCAGTATATTTTGTTGACGAAACACAACACTCAAAACGTTGCAGCGTGTTCAGTTGAAGAATATCATAAACGAAAGATTCAGCTGGGATTCAGTTCAGTGTGTCTTCTTTTTATTTATTGACTGATGACCATTTTGCTGGAATTTGGTGTAATTCCATTAGAGGTACATTAAGCATTAGTTATTATCTCGAAGGTTGTTCGCCAAAAGGGGGAAGTATTCTAGTTCACCCATATTCGACGGCAACACGGGGTAGTTGGATATTAAACTCAAAAATAAACTTCACTCGATATAGCCTAAGATTTCGTATAAGTACGGTAGAGCCACGTAAGGACAAATGAAATCGGTCCGATATGAAGGGATCTCTTACCACGAACCAAAGTACAAGAAAACAGTATGGAAGACATTGTTTTTCTAGCCATGATGGCAAAGGCATAAACCGATTGGCTTTCCTATCCCAGATGGATTCGTAAAGCTTCATGATGGTCGTAGAACGTCTAGCTCTCAAAGACGTCCAAAATCTGGCGGATGTCATTTTTTAAAAGTCGTTCAGCTGCAGCACCTTTCAGTGCCTAAATGTCATGCCACTAGTAGGAATCATGAGGGCTGGGATACTGTGAGGTTGCCCTAGACAGGGGAAGTCGAGAAGCAGAGGTTGTGTTCAAACCACCGACCTTCCGATCAACAAATTCGCGCTCTAACCACCGAACCATCTTAGTCGAGAGTTAAGAGATGAGCCACCAGAAAAGGCATAATTTTGCTGAGGGAAAGGCATACTCTCTCATGAACTACCATAGGCAACATTCTGATAGCTATATATTTATGGTAATCAGATAAGTATAATGATAATGTAATAAGGTAAGGACTAAACAAAGCGACACAGCAAGGCGGGCCTCCCAAGGAAAAGTCCTCCTGAAAAAACATGGATACTCCAGAGACGTTTTTCCAACATCACGGAAAAGCTGTTTTTGCATCCCAAGAGCTGATATCCCCAAAAATCTATGGATTTTACGCACCTCGTCCGCCGGTGAAAGAAAATACTACGCACCAATTACAAGCAGCACAGTGATACCGGAGACGCATGTCAGCAGTAGTCTGGCATGAAAAAAAAACTTACAGGGAACATACTCCGGGTCCGAACTGTCATCCGTACTCTCCGATATTTCCTCCTCCTCCTCTTCAGCATCATCTCCAATGTCGTCCGCTCCTTGAGCCCGTCGGGATCCCCTAGTTCTCTGTTGTGTGCAAGATTCCTTTCGATGCATTTCGCGCATTAGTTCATCAAACGTGATAAGGCCATTTAGATAGCGCGAGTATAAGGATTCGTCCGGGATTAGGTCATTTAAAAATCTTCCATCATCTGGAAATCCGGGTACGTCGTCCACTCCTAGTGCATCCAGATCATAGGACAACTCATAACCAGTTGTAATGAACTAGCACCTGATTAATACCGACCAAAATCTTACTGAATCCAAATCCACAATTTGCAACTCCTGGTCTACCAAACTGCCTCCGTGGAAACCATAATCTGTATTTAGAGAGTCATCCATGAGGGCTGAAAAGGGAATGTAAATCACGTCAGGAGCAGCTTCAAGAATGAAGGGGTTCGTTTGAAAAGGATGGGCCAGTACGTTTCACGATTTCCTGACTCGTACATCTCTTTCAGTATATAGCCCACGACTATCCCTTTTTCTGACGTTCATCAGTAGACAGTCACTATTTTCAAACACTACATAATGTTAGTGTGAGGTACCCAGAAGGGATAAAAAAAAGGCATGATCTGAATGGAGACATCACATGGTCACCGAGAAACTCGTTGAAAGATTTGAAATCCAGACAATGGAAGTACTACCCTGCAGAGAGATAGGAAGCACTGCTAGTGTGGCATGAATCGAAACTTGACAAACCTCAAGAAGCTGCACGAGCTTTCAAACTGGCAAGAAATAATCACAATCACATGTATACAGACAATCCGTTACTTGTTTTGTGTCGTCCAAAGTAGCGACATAGAGAAAACGCCTAAGATTACGGTCATGTTCGTTTCTCGTTTTACCGCATAGAGTAACATTATCAAGTTTAACCTTCGATGGAAACACGCAACCCCGATTGTCACTCCGAAAGCACTACGTCGGAACTGATAAAGGCCCCCCGCCTGCTTGGAATACAGTAAACGGCGTATTTGACTACATTACTGGATGTCCAGTGTTTAGCGTGTGATGGTTTCAATCATTTGATCCAATCATTGACGAGTAGCTCCGACTCCCTTTTGCTTATCCTTGTGCCGATATGTCTCCCACTGTGGTCAGCTGTTTGAGTCACCTGTTTTCACTGTTTAGTATGCCACCTTATATTCACTGATACCGCGGTTCTACGTTCATATCATCTGAACTAAAACAGCTTTTGTTCGATAAAGGCATTGCCACTAGTCACATCACTGCATATAACCCACGACCTAATGGTCAGCTGGAACGATTTACTATTACCATTTGGAAGACCATCTGCCTGACTTTAAAATCACGAGTCTTGCCTGTCACCGCTTGGGAGGTTGCCCTTCTTGCCCTCCTCCAATGTATCAGAACCCTGTTATGTATCAGTATCAACTGCACCCCACATGAACGTCTCCTACCGTTCACACAACGATCAGCCAACGGTGTTCCCTCACCTACCTGGCTTAATGACACTGGGCCGATCCTTTTGAAATGCAATGATCCTTTCTCTAAATATGACCCTCTAATAGAGAGAGTGGAGCCCAACTCTTGTAATCCACAGTACGCTCACGTAGTTCGTCCAGATGGCAAACACGAAACTGTATCCTTACGTCGGCTGCCACTTGCCCTCCTCCAATGTATCAGAACCCTGTTATGTATCAGTATCAACTGCACCCCACATGAACGTCTCCTACCGTTCACACAACGATCAGCCAACGGTGTTCCCTCACCTACCTGGCTTAATGACACTGGGCCGATCCTTTTGAAATGCAATGATCCTTTCTCTAAATATGACCCTCTAATAGAGAGAGTGGAGCCCAACTCTTGTAATCCACAGTACGCTCACGTAGTTCGTCCAGATGGCAAACACGAAACTGTATCCTTACGTCGCTCGGCTGCCACAGGCAACAGCAGGACATGCGACAATGCCGACACTGAACTGAAACCAGAGCATACTGTCGGACAAGAGGAACGTCACCCAACACCATCAGTCCACCGTGATTGTTCAGAAACTGAAATCTTGCCTATTAACGACGCCTCATCATCCCATTCTAGTGCAAACCCAGGAAATCACTTGGATGCTCTTATACGACAACAGTCTACTCACCCATATAGTCTGCGCAACAGAGAGGCGTAAACTCTAGTTCGTCGCAAAACTACACACTTATTCCAAGGCGGGGAGGATGTTGTGACTATGAATGCCACACCTTACATACACCATTAACTGGTAATTCTCACTCTATATTTTCAGCTCATATACTATCGTTATTAGGCGATTACGCCCCTTCCGATCTCGAGCTAGAACCACTCGACTCCCACAACAGTAAGACAACTAGAAAGACCCGTGCTACTGCCCCAGTGAGCACCAAAATGTCTTGACTGCAGGTCTCCCGTCTAATAATAGCATCCACATCATCATCGACAACAAAATAAAAGTAACTTATACTGGCGCTCCAATGCGATATAAGCGTGGGACAGAAAATCTAGCACACATACAACGAAAAAACATGGATACTCCAGAGACGTTTTTCCAACATCACGGAAAAGCTGTTTTTGCATCCCAAGAGCTGATATCCCCAAAAATCTATGGATTTTACGCACCTCGTCCGCCGGTGAAAGAAAATACTACGCACCAATTACAAGCAGCACAGTGATACCGGAGACGCATGTCAGCAGTAGTCTGGCATGAAAAAAAAACTTACAGGGAACATACTCCGGGTCCGAACTGTCATCCGTACTCTCCGATATTTCCTCCTCCTCCTCTTCAGCATCATCTCCAATGTCGTCCGCTCCTTGAGCCCGTCGGGATCCCCTAGTTCTCTGTTGTGTGCAAGATTCCTTTCGATGCATTTCGCGCATTAGTTCATCAAACGTGATAAGGCCATTTAGATAGCGCGAGTATAAGGATTCGTCCGGGATTAGGTCATTTAAAAATCTTCCATCATCTGGAAATCCGGGTACGTCGTCCACTCCTAGTGCATCCAGATCATAGGACAACTCATAACCAGTTGTAATGAACTAGCACCTGATTAATACCGACCAAAATCTTACTGAATCCAAATCCACAATTTGCAACTCCTGGTCTACCAAACTGCCTCCGTGGAAACCATAATCTGTATTTAGAGAGTCATCCATGAGGGCTGAAAAGGGAATGTAAATCACGTCAGGAGCAGCTTCAAGAATGAAGGGGTTCGTTTGAAAAGGATGGGCCAGTACGTTTCACGATTTCCTGACTCGTACATCTCTTTCAGTATATAGCCCACGACTATCCCTTTTTCTGACGTTCATCAGTAGACAGTCACTATTTTCAAACACTACATAATGTTAGTGTGAGGTACCCAGAAGGGATAAAAAAAAGGCATGATCTGAATGGAGACATCACATGGTCACCGAGAAACTCGTTGAAAGATTTGAAATCCAGACAATGGAAGTACTACCCTGCAGAGAGATGGGAAGCACTGCTAGTGTGGCATGAATCGAAACTTGACAAACCTCAAGAAGCTGCACGAGCTTTCAAACTGGCAAGAAATAATCACAATCACATGTATACAGACAATCCGTTACTTGTTTTGTGTCGTCCAAAGTAGCGACATAGAGAAAACGCCTAAGATTACGGTCATGTTCGTTTCTCGTTTTACCGCATAGAGTAACATTATCAAGTTTAACCTTCGATGGAAACACGCAACCCCGATTGTCACTCCGAAAGCACTACGTCGGAACTGATAAAGGCCCCCCGCCTGCTTGGAATACAGTAAACGGCGTATTTGACTACATTACTGGATGTCCAGTGTTTAGCGTGTGATGGTTTCAATCATTTGATCCAATCATTGACGAGTAGCTCCGACTCCCTTTTGCTTATCCTTGTGCCGATATGTCTCCCACTGTGGTCAGCTGTTTGAGTCACCTGTTTTCACTGTTTAGTATGCCACCTTATATTCACTGATACCGCGGTTCTACGTTCATATCATCTGAACTAAAACAGCTTTTGTTCGATAAAGGCATTGCCACTAGTCACATCACTGCATATAACCCACGACCTAATGGTCAGCTGGAACGATTTACTATTACCATTTGGAAGACCATCTGCCTGACTTTAAAATCACGAGTCTTGCCTGTCACCGCTTGGGAGGTTGCCCTTCTTGCCCTCCTCCAATGTATCAGAACCCTGTTATGTATCAGTATCAACTGCACCCCACATGAACGTCTCCTACCGTTCACACAACGATCAGCCAACGGTGTTCCCTCACCTACCTGGCTTAATGACACTGGGCCGATCCTTTTGAAATGCAATGATCCTTTCTCTAAATATGACCCTCTAATAGAGAGAGTGGAGCCCAACTCTTGTAATCCACAGTACGCTCACGTAGTTCGTCCAGATGGCAAACACGAAACTGTATCCTTACGTCGCTCGGCTGCCACAGGCAACAGCAGGACATGCGACAATGCCGACACTGAACTGAAACCAGAGCATACTGTCGGACAAGAGGAACGTCACCCAACACCATCAGTCCACCGTGATTGTTCAGAAACTGAAATCTTGCCTATTAACGACGCCTCATCATCCCATTCTAGTGCAAACCCAGGAAATCACTTGGATGCTCTTATACGACAACAGTCTACTCACCCATATAGTCTGCGCAACAGAGAGGCGTAAACTCTAGTTCGTCGCAAAACTACACACTTATTCCAAGGCGGGGAGGATGTTGTGACTATGAATGCCACACCTTACATACACCATTAACTGGTAATTCTCACTCTATATTTTCAGCTCATATACTATCGTTATTAGGCGATTACGCCCCTTCCGATCTCGAGCTAGAACCACTCGACTCCCACAACAGTAAGACAACTAGAAAGACCCGTGCTACTGCCCCAGTGAGCACCAAAATGTCTTGACTGCAGGTCTCCCGTCTAATAATAGCATCCACATCATCATCGACAACAAAATAAAAGTAACTTATACTGGCGCTCCAATGCGATATAAGCGTGGGACAGAAAATCTAGCACACATACAACTACACTTATGCCACATCGGCCGTCGCGTGGTGCCACCAGGCGGGTCGCCTTACTTGCTGCATACAGCAGGGCGTGCAAAAAAACATTGCTGCATACAGCAGGGCGTGTAGGCAAAAAAACAGGTTATCACTGACGCTTCCCTTCTTTCGCTTTCATATACTTTTCCTTCCCCCTCTCCCCACCCCATCATCAAATCCCTCCTTGTAGGTCCGTCAATGAGACGAACTCATGACTCCATTCTTCCTGCATCGATTTTGCAAGTAACCTGCGCATTATCCTGCATTGACAACTCACACATCCCGAAATCAAACTACAAACCTCGACGCCCTGTCTGCCTGGCTGTTTTCAATGTTCACACTCTGAAGCAAGCAGAAAAACAAGCTGCTCTTGCTCTCACAATGGACTTGCTTGATACTGATGTATGCTGTGTATCAGGATTAAGAATTCAAGATGCGAACACAATGGTTGCGCTGACCGCCACATCACTGTCCACTCACTTCCAGATATACTTGTGGTTGTTCGAGATCTAAATGCACAAGTAGGCAGGCCTATTGCATCTGAGACTCAACTAGACGGTCGATATGGATGGGACTCGGTACGTATACACAATGGTGAACCGTTGCTTCAGCTGTGTGCTGAAAGCAGGCTGTTTTCTATGCAGTACTAACTCCTGAAACAGTCGAGGAAAGCACGAGGGATGAAATACTGCCGTTATACTACCGTTGTTCTATCTAGTGATCTAGACGCTGACCTTTATTTTCAATATTATACCTGACTATCAAATTAGCAGATCCAGCACCATTAGCTGCGGTGTATCGGTCAAGGTTACGAATGCCTAAACATCATCTGCCGAGACAAGCGTTGTTCTGCGTGCTTCAGAATGGTCTATCTAGTGATCTAGACGCTGACCTTTATTTTCAATATTATACCTGACTATCAAATTAGCAGATCCAGCACCATTAGCTGCGGTGTATCGGTCAAGGTTACGAATGCCTAAACATCATCTGCCGAGACAAGCGTTGTTCTGCGTGCCTTCTTCAGAATGGTGCGACCTGCCAGATGGATATGTGACATGGCAAAAGGGTGTGAGAGAAAATGCGAGTTTGGGTGTTGCTTATGTCCGCCTTCCAGGATGGGATCACCATGGCCCCTGAGCTTGGCTGGATACATTTCGAGAAATGGCAGCTAATCGACCATAATGGAGTTCGTACTGTCACTCTTATTCCTAATCGTCCAAATGAGCTCGTAGATGTGTAGACACCATCATCACCATCATCGATGCTTCACTGCCGTACAACCATAAGGTTCGTCTAGTTATATAT